CTCGTTAATCCATTCATGCGCGTCACTAATTGGATGACGAGGCATTTGGCTATATAATCATTTATTTCCATATAGATATCTGACATTTCAGTTACTGCTCTCGGCTCACTGTAAGCCATGCGCTCTTACATCAGTGGCCGGCAGTGTGCGCCAAAGGGGACAACACAACATAAATGACAAGATCTATTTGTTGCGTTAGCGTCCGACATCACCTGCTGGAAAATAGAACAAACATATACAATACATTCATTTAAAATGTTGGGTCCGGGCGCAACCCTAACTCAAAATATATAACAAATTAAAATTTGGTGTAAATGGGACAAACTGTTTAAAATTAAAAGCCAATATAAATAAATTATAAAAATTAAAAGTAACAGAACCAATAACAAATTAAAATGTGTGTAGAACAAAAATGACTAGATGTAGTACTTGGTTGGACAAACTTATTAAAAATTAAAATTTGTTGCGCCCTCGCCACAGGTAGGCTTTGCCTAGCATCGGTAACTCCGGCCGACGCGAGAGACACATTCGCGCACATCGCCGACCCTACTGGCACTCACATCACTGCACATTTCTTGGAGGTCTTCCCCGTCTTCCTCGACGCCGATGAACACGGACGCCGCTGCTCTGCTCCCCAGACTGCGTCCCTGCGGCAACTAGATGTGCTGTGCTATGCTGTTGTGTAGCAGGTCCGCGCTGATGCTGTCCGGGTCGCTGCGCCCAGGCTGTGCGCATGAAGGTGGCATGGATCGAGTTGCCCCACTTCAGGCAGGTAGCCACGCAACTCCGTTTGAGGGATGCAGTGATACCTAGAACAGTAGACGTTAGATTGTTCTTTTTAGCCCATAAGCCCCTTGCGCCCAACACCAGGGGCAAGATAGTAATAGTGGTGTTGGGCCACTTCCTGCTTGCAGCGGCTCGGAAGTGTTCATTGTCGTATTTTAATAGCTTGTTCGTCCAGGCCTGGTCGAGCCCACTCTCACCCGACCAGCTAACCTGGACGTCGCAGATCGTGAGCCGGTTCGGGCCGGTAAATATGGCCAAGTCTGGCTTATACAACCTCCCGTCCGCGTGGCGAACGTGAGGTTCCTCATCTGCGGCCCACGATCTGCGTCGACAGTGCTCAGCCAATTTCGAGACTATCTCGTTGTGTCTTCGAATTCGCACCCCGTGTGTGATTGGGCACGCTTGCAGCACGTGGCAGATAGATTCATTGACTGTGCAGCCTGCCCTGCACAGTCGTAACTCGGGTGGATTCGAGGGTATACCCCTCGTAGGAAGATTGTTATTCCTTAGCTGGACCGCCTTGACGTAGTCGCGTCCAGTCCAACCCATTGGAGGATGGTCAATCCACGACCTACTGGCCGAGTCGTGGGCCGCCTCCTCCATGCCTTTGGTATAAGGGTTGCTCATCATTTTGATCCTTCTTGTGGTGCCAGGGTCGGTGAGCGGTGCTAACCTCTCCAGGCGTTGCAAGTTCCTGGAAAACAGTGGATCATTAGTCAGTGTTTCCTGGCTACCTGAGCTTTCAAGGGACTTCCTGATCCGTGTGACCATCCCCGTCCTTGTGGATGAGGATGGTCCGGTTCTGCAGGAATCGGGACGGGGCGACGCGACTCCCCAGCACCAGCGTGTATAACACACTAAGTGCCCGAGCGCCGCACCGCTTCACATCCTCCACAGAAGTCCCATCTGGGCCGGGGGCTGACACCTTCCATGATCCCATGGACCGCAAGACTTCCGTCTCCGTGATCGGCTTGAATGTGTCACTACACCGAGCCCGCTCAATGAACGGGTCGGTGTCGACCGGAGACTCCCGCTCGAGCAGCCCACCATACAGGGACTCAGTGTCCGCCAAGGTGGGAGCGGCCACGGACTGGCAGACGTCCTTTCCACTCAGGATCATTTGTACCAGGGTCTTCTTGCTCTTGGCAAAAAGATTCTGGCATTTCTTGTATCGGCTGATCCTGAGGGCCCTCTTACTGAGGGGTGGTCCCTCCACAGCGGCGGCGCACCCCCTCGCCGTCCTGACCTTTACTGGGAATCGATGTCTGATCCAGTCGTCCATCGCTGCGAGCAGCTCTGGACCGGTTCCCATTCTAGCTTTGTTAATCATTTCTTGGGTGGCATTGTCCAAGTCATTTAGGCTGGTCAGGTATTCGACGAAGGGTCCTGGCAGGAGTGCCGCCCTCGCGGGAGCCGATGGTGGCTCTGCTTCCCTGTCAACAGATGTAATAGGTAAATTAGTAATAGGATTCATCACGCCATTGTTTACGCCAGATGCGATGCATCCCCTTTTCAGCAGTACTGTTGTGGAGCTAATGAATACTGATGGTGTGTCTGCCTCCACAACGCTCGAAACTGACTGATCATCAACACATGACCTCTTTTTGCTAGGGGAAGGTGTTGAAGACACACTTCGCCCTCGTTTCGCGGACTGTGTCTCGACAGCCGCTATAGCCTCCATGACTCGGCCCCTGAGGTTGGGGGGAGGTCGTAAGGGTTCCTCATGATTTGCAGATTCGGTCCCAGACGTCGAGTCTTCCCGCACTCTCTTAAGCGCTCTGGTAGATCGGGTATCCGAGGGGACGTGCTGGGTGCTCACAGTGGTTGTGTCCCCGTGATGAGGGCTATTAGAGCGATCCTGGGCTGACTTAGATCCACCACTTCGGGTTGATCGACCCTGCGTTACTGGGGTCGAGCTGGCAGGAAGGCCGAAAAGTTTTGTGGCACTTCTCCTAACCTGTGCTCGAGCCTCAGTCAAGTAGCGCTGATAAACTTTCTGCTCTCGTCGATGCCTGACTTGATGTTCTGTCAGGCCGGTAGCCCTCACCATTTCTGTGTAGAATTTACCACCCCTTTTGCTTCCGGCTTCGATCTTAGCGATCTTAGCCATCAGCTCTGATTCAGGGAGTGGTAATTTCGCCTCTAATTCCTTCCGGTATTCCAACGGATGGATCCGGGACTCATGCTGTCGCATGAGTTTATAAGAGGCGAATTGTTGACCACAGTGTGAGCATCCTGTCCCCCTTTCTCCCGAACTCTTTGCGCCAATTGAGGCATTCGGACTTTCTGTCAGGGACTCTGCTTTATTGTGCGTGATGTTCGTATGGCTCGGCTTGGATCCGGTAGATTCTCGGCTTCCAACAAAATAACTTATAAGTTTCTTAACCGAGCCTGCGTTGGTTCCGGGTGGTGACCCGGTTGTGGGACGGACGTTATCCCTGACCTCTATAGTATTGGTAGAGGAGGCCGACTCTTCATTTCTATTGTGCCTGTCGTCACCAACGGGTTCCTGATCCTAGTCTATAACTCCGACCACACCCGAACCCTTGGGTGTGGCCTCCGAGGCTTGTTTCCTTCTGTCTGGACCAACGCTAATTTCAAGCCGTGGGGCTGGTAACCCAACGACAGACAGGGGATTGGGGGAGGATCGATCCGTCACGACTTAGTTGTTGTGCGGCGCCACCTCGAGGAGGTGTCGTGTACGGTCTTGACACGGGTTATGCTAGGTATTCGCCTTCCCGTGCCCTGCCGAAGGCTTGTTACAGGCGTATGGGACTTACGACCTGCAGGAGACCAGACCACCTCGCAATGCGCCCGAAGACGCACTCACTCACTCACGCTTACGGCACTCACACCCTTGCTTCCGACCTAGGAGGTCTCCCACGCCGTCCACGGTGTCGCCTCCTGTGGTCAGCACTTCCGGGTCCCCGGGACTGCGTCTCTGCTACGGGCACTGGTTGGTGTGTGTGCCCGCTGTCCGAGATCCGTCCTTGTCCGGGTCGCCGCGCCCAGGCAGTTCGCATAAATGAGGCATGGATGGAACTGCCCCATTTAAGGCAGGAATGCACACAGCTCCTCTTAAGGGACGGCGGCATTCCTAAAACATGAGATGTTAAGTTGTTTTGTTTCGCCCAAGTACCCCTCGCACCCAACACCAGGGGTAGAATAGAAATTTCGGTGTTGGGCCATTTCCTGGCGGCTGCAGCCCGGAAGTGACCATTGTCGTATTTCAGTTTCTTATCTGTCCAGGCCTGGTCGAGTCCACGGTCTCCCGACCAGCTTACCTGGACATCGCAGACCGTGAGCCGATTGGGGCCAGTTGTTATGGCCAAGTCTGGCTTATACAGCCTCCCGTCCGTATGTCGAACGTGAGGCTCCTCCTCCACGGCCCACAGTCTACGTCGGCAATGTGCCGCAATCTTGTCGCATATTTCGTTGTGCCTAGAGATGCGCACCCCGTGAGTTATGGGGCACGCTTGAAGTACGTGACACAACGATTCTTGGACCGTGCAGCCTGCCCTGCACAGCCTCAGCTCCGGTGGATTGGAAGGTAACGCTCTCGTGTATAAATTGTTTGTCCTAAGCTGGATGGCCCTGACATAGTCCCTGCCACTCCAGCCCAGGGGAGGATGGTCAATCCAAGACCGACTGGCTGGGTCATGGGTCGCCTCCTCAATACCTCTGGTGAACGGGCATGCTCTAATTTCCTCTCTGCGGCGTGTGCCAGGGTCGGTGAGCGGTGCTAGCTTCTCCAGGCGCTGCAAGTTCCTGGAAAACACAAGATCACCGGTTAGTGTTTCCACAGGGCTACCTGAGCTCTCAAGGGACTTCCTGATCCGCTTTGCCAATGATCTGGGGATGGACGTCCTAAAGCATGTTATGCCCAGTCCGCCATCCCTCGTGGCTGCATACAAAGTGCAATCTGGTGTTGTGATACACAGATGCAGGACCTTCTTGATTGCTCGCCTAATCAGCCTGTCAGCCGCCCTCAACACCTCCGCGGTCACCCGCGTGTTCGTCAACCCGTACTGAACTTTTGGGACGACATGGAACTTGAGAAGATGGAATTTCTGGTAAGGCTTCAGGGGTGCCTTAGTGAGGTTGTTGAGCCATAGTGATAGATTATAGAGGGATGGTTTAGTGACACCTGAGGTGGTAAAATGGTGTCCAAGATACTTAATGTATTCATCATCCCTCTTAGCCACAGTTAGCTACCATCGGCTCCGCTAAGGGCGGCCCTCCTGCCGGGATCCTTCGTCGAGTTCTTGACCGAACTGAATGACCTGGACACTGATACCCAGGATATGATTACAAAGGCAATTACGGGAACCGGTCCAGAGCTGCTTGCAGCAATGGACGACTGGATCCAACAACGCTTCCCAGCAAAGGTCAAGACGGCGAGGGGGTGCGCCGCCGCTGTGGAGGGGCCACCCCTCAGTAAGAGGGCCCTCAGGATCAGTAGATACAAAAAATGCCAGGATCTTTTTGCTAAAAGCAAGAAGACCCTGGTTGATATGATCCTGAGCGGAAAGGACGTCTGCCAGTCCGTGGCCGCTCCCACCTTGGCGGACACCGAGACCCTGTATGGTGGGTTGCTCGAGGCGGAGTCTCCGGTCGACACCGACCCGTTCGTTGAGCGGGCTCGAAGTGACGACACATTCAAGCCGATCACAGAGACGGAGGTCGTGGGGTCCATGGGATCATGGAAGGTGTCAGCCCCCGGCCCCGATGGGACTTCTGTGGAGGACGTAAAGCGGTGTGGGGCTCGGGCACTTAGCGTGTTATACACGCTGGTGCTCGGGAGTCGGATTGCTCCGTCCAGGTTCCTGCAGAACCGGACTATCCTTATCCATAAGGACGGGGATGGTTCGGACCCGACTAACTGGCGTCCTATCACGGTCGGATCTTCCATCCAGAGGCTGTTCCACAGGGTGATGGCCGGTCGGCTTGCCACCGCGACCAACCTCAACAGTAACCAACGCGGGTTTGTCCGCGTGGACGGGACCCTGCTGAATGGGGCGATACTGGACCACTATTTAAGATCTCGTAAGGCCCAGGGGAAAGGCTATAATGTGGTGTCGTTGGACGTCCGCAAAGCCTTCGACACCGTATCGCATAGTTCGATACGCCGCGCACTGTTGCGCCATGGTATAGAGACAGAGACCATAGACTACATAATCAAATCACTGGGCTCGTCAGTGACGCGTATATCTATTGGCCACCAAACAACTCGGCCGCTAAGTATTAGGAGTGGTGTGAAGCAGGGAGACCCGCTGAGCCCAGTCCTATTCAACTTGGTTATTGACGAGTTACTCGACGAGCTTGAGTTGAGACAGCCCGGAGGTACCATCACCCCCTCATTCAGATGTGCGGCCATGGGATTTGCTGACGACATCATCCTTCTGGAGGACAAAGAGGTGGACATGCCTGCGTCACTGGACTTCGCTTGCGAGTTCTTTCGGCGTAGAGGTATGTCTATTCACCCTAAAAAGACCACCTCTATCTCGGTCTCGTCCTACCGGGGGAAAAGTGTCGCGCGGTCCCGGCCGTGCTTCAGACTTGACGGGCAATTGGTCTCCAT